TTTTTTTTGCTATTGTGTTGTATGAGGTCCACATATATTTTGATACTAACCCCTCATCCCATATATGATTTGCAGAGATTCTGTCCTACTCTGTATTAGGCTTTATATTTTGCTGATTGTTACTTTTGCTGTGCAGGAGCTTTTTAGTTTGATGTAGTCCCACCTGTTGATATTTGCTTTTCTGACTTGTGTTTTTGGGGTCATATCCCAAAATTATTGCCCAAACCAGTGTTAAGTAGCTTCTTCTCTATGTTTTCCTCTAGGAGTTTTGTAGTGTCAGATCTTACCTCTCAGTCTTTAATCCATTTTAAATTATATTTCTGAGTGGTGGAAGGTAGCTGTCCAATTTCATTTTTCTGCATGTGGTTTTCCAGTGTAACCAACAGCATTTGTTGAAGACACTAGCTTTTCCCCTTTCAAAATAGCCTTAAAACCATTAAAATACTTAAAAATAAACTTAACTGAGGAAGTGAAAAATTTGTACTTTAAAAACTATAATTAGACTTTTATGGAAAAAGTTGAAGAAGTCAAAACAAGTAGAAAGATATACTGGACCAGATGTATGGTTAATGGACCAGAAGAATTAATGCTAAAATGTCCATACTACCCAAAGGCATTTACAGGTTCAGTGCAATTTCTGTCAATATTCCAATAACATTTTTCAAAGATAGAAGTCCATCTTTAAATGTTTTGATGGGACCACAAAAGACCCAAATACCAAAGCAAGCCTGAGAAGGAATAAACTGGGAGTCATCACACTTTCTGCTTTAAAACTGTATCACAGTGCTATAGTCATGAGACACCATGATGCTGGTATTAAAATACACATGTAGTCTAAGAAAGGAATAGAATAGAGAGCCCAGTAGTAAACCCTGGCATAAAATGTCAACGGATATTTGAGATGGGACTAAAGCGCATTCAGCGGCCAAAGGACAGTCTCTTTGACAGATGGTGCTGGGAAAACTGGATACTACTTTTAATTTTTGGCAGAACCTCCAAACTGATTTTCATAGTGAGTGTGGTAATTTACAGTTTTACCAACAATGCACAAGGATTTTCTTTTCTCCACATCCTTGCCAATACTTGTAATCACTTGTCTTTTTTGACTGTATCCATTGTAATGGGTGAGAGATGGTCTCGTGGTTTTGATTTGCATTTCCCTGATGAGTAATGACATCGAACAGCTTTTCATGTTGGACATTTTTATGTCTTCTTTGGAAAAATTGTCTATTCAGAGCCAGTATTTTTAACTTAGATTTTTTTTGGCTGTTAAGTTGTATGATTCATTTATATACTTGAGTAACTACCATTCATCAAAAGATGGTTCACTAATAGTTGCTCCCATTGCATAGGATGCCTTTTTATTTTTTCAATTTTTTTCCTATGCTAAAGTTTTTACATTGACTTAGTCCCACTTGTTTCTTTTTGCTTTTGCTTTTGTTGCCTGTCCTGTGGAGTCATATCCAAAAAATCATTATTCCCAAGACCAAGGTCGAGGAGATTTTCCTCTATGATTTTTTGTTTTATGGTTTCAAGTCATACAGTTGACTCTTTAATCTATTGTAAGTTAATTTTTGTGAGTAGTGTAAGGTGGACTCCAGTTTAAGTCTCTTACTTTCATTCGATTGTACCAATTTACATTTCCACCCAAAAAGTTCACGAGTTACATTTTCTTCATATTCTTGCAAATATTTGTTTTTTATTTTTTATAATAGTCATTCTAACAGGTGTGAGGTAATGTTTCATTGTGGTTTGGGTTTGCATTTCCCTGATGATTAGTATATTTTCAATATCTGTTGGTGATTTGTATGTCTTTTTTTTGGGAAAAGAAAGTCTACTCAGGTCCTTTAGCCCATTTTTAATTTTTATTTTTTATTTGATTGCTAGTATTTTATGAGTTATTATATAGTTTATCAAAAATGTTTTTTTGGTTAAAAAATGAAGAAATGGTTTGCGTATATGTTCTCCTGTTCTGCAGCTGCATTTACATTTGCTGATTGTTTATTTTGCTATGAACTTTTTTTTTAAGTTTGCTGTAGCTTCAGTTGCTTATTTTTGCTTTTGTTGCTTGTAACTTTGGTGTCATATCCAAAATATATTTGCCAAAACCACACTAAGGAGCTTTATCTTTATGTTTTCTTCAAGTAGTTTTACAGTTTTAAGTCTTACATTTAAGCCTTCGGTCCACTTTGAGTTAATTTTTGTGAGTGCTGCAAGAACAGGGTCCATTTGTGTTCATCTGTAGGTCATTATCCAGTTTTCCAGTGTAGTTTATTGAAAAGACTGTGTTTTCCCCAGTACTTCTTCTTGGCTCCCTTGTGAAATATTTGTTGACTGCATTTGGATGGGTTTATTTCTGAACTCTGATTGTTTCATTGGGCTTGGTCTCTGTTTTTCGGCATTACCTACCATTTTGATTACTAAAGCTTTGTAATAAAATTTGAAATTAGGGAGTGTGGTATCTCTAGATTTGTTCTTAACCAGGTTGACTTGACATTAGGGGTGTTTTGTGGTTCCATACAAGTTTTAGGATTGCTTTCTCTATTTCTGTGTAAAAGTCATTTGAGTTTTGATAAGGATTGCATTGAATCTATAGACAGCTTTGAGTGATATAGACATTTTTCAGTATTATTCTTCCAATTCATAACCATGGAAACTGTTAACATTTGTTTCTGTTTTTCTCAGTTTGCTCATTACCGTTTTGTCATTTTAGGTGTATGGATATTTTATCTACCTAATTTAATTTATTCCTAAATGTTTTATTTATTTCTAATGCCATTTAAAATATGATTGCTTTTAAAGATTTTTTTTAATTGAGTTGTAGTCAGTTTACAATGTTGTGTCAATTTCTGGTCTATAGCACAATTTTTCAGTCACACATGAATATACATATATTCATTTTTATATTATTTTTCACCATGAGCTACCAGAAGATCTTGAATAAATTTCCCTGTGCTATACCATATAAACTTGTTTATATATTCTATATTTACTTGTCATTATCTACAAATCTCAAACTCCTAGTCTGTCCCTTTCCACTCCCCTTCCCACTGGCAATGACAAATTTGTATTCTATGTCTGTGAGTCTGTTTCTGTTTTATATTTATTTGTCTTCTATTTTTTTTAGATTCCACATATGAGTGATATATGGTAGTTTTCTTTCTTTTTCTGGCTTAACTTAACTTAGAGTGACATTCTCCAGGGACATCCATGTTGCTGCAACTGACATTATGTTGTCATTTTATGGCTGAATAGTATTTCATTGCATACATGTACCACAACTTCTTTACCCAGTCATCTGTTGATGGACATTTAGGCTGTTTCCATGTCTTGGCTATTGTAAATAGTACTCCTGTGAATATTGGGGTGCAAGTGTCTTTTTGAATTAGGGTTCCTTCTGGATATATGCCCAGGAGTGGGATTGCTGGGTCATATGGTAAGTCAATTTTTAGTCTTTTGAGGAATCTCCATACTGTTTTCCACAATGGCTGCACCAAACTGCATTCCCACCAGCAGTGTAGGAGGGTTCCCTTTTCTCCACAGCCTCCCCAACATTTATCATTCATGGGCTTTTGAATGATGGCCATTCTGACTGGTGTGAGGTGATACCTCATTTTAGTTTTGATTTGCACTTCTGTTACAATTAGAGATATTGAGCACTTTTTCATGTGCCTATTGGTCATTTGTACAACTTCATTCGAGAAATGCTTGTTTAGGTCTTCTGCTCATTTGTGGGTTGGGTTGTTTTTTGTTTTTTTTTTTCTTACTAAGTCATATAAGCTGTTTATATGTTTTAGAGATCAAGCCCTTCTTGGTTTCATCTTCTGCAAATATTTCCTCCCATTCCCTAGGTTGTCACTTTGTTTTCTTTATAGTTTCCTTTGCTGTTCAAAAGCTTGTAAGTTTAATTAGGTCCCACATGTTTATTCTTGCTTTTATTTCTATTGCTTGGGTAGACTGTCCTAGGAGAACATTGCTGAAATGTATGTGAGATAATATTTTGCCTATGTTTTCTTCTAGGAGGTTTATTGTATCTTGTCTTATGTTTAAGTCCTTGATCCATTTTGAGTTCATTTTTGTGTAAGGTGTGAGGGATTATTATAATTTCATTGATTCATATGCTGCTGTCCAATTTTCCCAACACCATTTGCTGAAGAGACTGTCTTAATTCCATTGTATGTTCTTGTCCCCTTTGTCAAAGATTAATTGACCAAGTTTGTAGATTCATTTCTGGGCTCTCTGTTTTGTTCCATTGATCTACATGTCTGTTTTTGTACCAGTACCATGCTGTTTTGATTACTGCAGCTCTGTAGTATTGTCTGAAGTCTGGGAGAGTTATTCCTCCAGCCTC